TAGAGATGATTTAAAATATACAGGAGGATTGAAGCAGCAATCAAGAGTCTCCCCAAAAAGAAAAGTCCAGGACCTGATGGATTCTCTGCTGAATTCTATCAGACCTTTAAAGAAGAACTGATACCAACCCTCCTTAAACTGTTCCACGAAATAGAAAGGGAAGGAAAACTGCCGAACACATTTTAGGAAGCCAGTATTACATTTATCCCCAAACCAGGCAAAGACACCTCCAAAAAGGAGAACTACAGGTCAATCTCCTTAATGAACACTGATGCAAAAATCCTCAACAAAATAATGGCAAACCGAATTCAGCAACACATCAAAAAGATCATTCACCACGACCAAGTAGGCTTCATCCCAGGAATGCAGGGGTGGTTCAACATATGAAAATCAATAAACATAATAAACCTCATTAACAGAAGCAAAGACAAAAACCACTTGATCATCTCAATAGATGCAGAAAAAGCCTTTGATAAGATCTAACACCATTTCATGATAAAAGCTCTAAGAAAACTAGGATCAGAAGGAAAGCAACTCAACATTATAAAAGCTATATATGACAAACCTACAGCCAGCATTATACTTAATGGAGAAAAACCGAAACCATTCCCTCTAAAATCAGGAACCAGACAAGGATGCCCACTATCTCCACTCCTATTCAACATAGTACTGGAATTCCTAGCCAGAGCAATTAGGCAAGAAGAAGGAATAAAAGAATACAAATAGGTAAAGAAACTGTCAAAATATCCCTATTTGCAGACGACATGATCCTATACCTTAAAGACTCAAAAACTCTATTCAAAAGCTCCTAGACACCATCAATAGCTATAGCAAGGTAGCAGGATATAAAATCAACATAGAAAAATCATTAGCATTTCTATACACTAACAATGAGCAAACTGAAAAAGAATATATGAAAACAATTCCATTTACAATAGCCTCAAAAAAAAATCAAATACCTAGGTGTAAACCTAACAAAGGATGTGAAAGACCTCTACAAGGAAAACTATAAACTTCTGAAGAAAGAGATTGAGGAAGACTATAGAAAGTGGAGAGATCTCCCATGCTCATGGATTGGTAGAATCAACATAGTAAAAATGTCTATACTCCCAAAAGTAATCTACATGTTTAATGCAATTCCCATCAAAATTCCAATGACATTCATTAAAGAGATTGAAAAATCTACCGTTAAATTTATATGGAAACACAAGAGGCCACGAATAGCCAAGGCAATACTTAGTCAAAAGAACAATGGTGGAGGTATCACAATACCCGACTTCAAACTATATTACAAAGCAATAACAATAAAAACAGCGTGGTACTGGCACAAAAACAGACATGAATACCAGTGGAACAGAATAGAGGACCCAGATATGAAACCACACAACTATTTTCAACTTGTCTTTGACAAAGGAGCTAAAAATATACGACGGAGAAAAGACAGCCTCTTCAACAAAAATTGCTGGGAAAACTGGTTAGCAGTCTGCAAAAAATTGAAACTAGATCCATGTATATCACACTATACCAATATTAACTCAAAATGGATCAAGGATCTTAATATCAGACAACAAACTCTAAAGTCGATACAGGAAAGAGTAGGAAATACTCTGGAGTTAGCAGGTATAGGTAAGAACTTTCTCAATGGAACATGAGCAGCACAGCAACTAAGAGATAGCATAGATAAATGGGACTTCATAAAACTAAAAAGCTTCTGTTCATCAAAAGAAATAGTCTCTAAACTGAAGAGAACACCCACAGAGTGGGAGAAAATATTTGCCAGCTATACATCAGACAAAGGACTGATAACCAGAATATATAGGGAACTTAAAAAACTAAATTCTCCCAAAACTAATGAACCAATAAAGAAATGGGCAAGTGAACTAAACAGAACTTTCTCAAAAGAAGAAATTCTAATGGCCAAAAACACATGAAAAAAATGCTCACCATCTCTAGCAATAAAGGAAATGCAAATTAAAACCACACTAAGATTCCACCTCACCCCTGTTAGAATAGCCATCATTAGCAACACCACCAACAGGTGTTAGCGAGGATGCAGAGAAAAAGGAACCCTCTTACACTGCTGGTGGGAATGTAAACTAGTACAACCACTCTGGGAAAAATGTGGAGGCTACTTAAAACTGTAAACATTGGTCTACCATATGATCCAGCAATACCACTCTTGGGGATATACCCAAAAGACTGTTACTCCAGAGGCGCCTGCACACCCATGTTTATTGTAGCACTATTCACAATAGCCAAGTTGTGGAAACAGCCAAGATGCCCCACCACTGACGAATGGATCAAGAAAATGTGGTATCTATACACAATGGAATTTTATGCAGCCATGAAGAAGAACAAAATGTTATCATTCGCTGATAAATGGATGGAATTGGAGAACATCATTCTGAGTGAGGTTAGCCTGGCCCAAAAGACCAAAAAATCATATGTTCTCCCTCAAATGCAGACATTAGATCAAGGGCAAACACAACAAGGGTATTGGACTTTGATCACAAGATAAAAGTGAGAGCACACAAGGGAGATAGGAGGATAGGTAAGACTCCTAAAAAACTAGATAGCATTTTTTGCCCTCAACGCAGAGAAACTAAAGCAGATATCTTAAAGCAGATACCTGAGGCCAATAGGAGAAAGGGACCAGGAACTAGAGAAAAGGCTAGATCAAGAAGAATTAACTTAGAAGGTAACACACACGCACAGGTAATCAATGTAAGTCAACTCCCTGTATAGCTATCCTTATCTCAACTAGCAAAAACCCTTGTTCCTTCCTATTTATTGCTTATACTCTCTCTTCAACAAAATTAGAGATAAGGGCAAAATACTTTCTGCCAGGTATCGAGGGGGTAGAGGGGAGAGGGAGGGGGCAGGGCATGTGGTAAGGGAGAGGGTCGGGGGAGGGGGGAGAAATGACCCAAATATTATATGCACATATGAATAAAAAAATTAAAAAAAAAAATAATAGCCCCCCCCAAAAATAAATAAAATAAAATAAAATATACAGGAGGATGTGCACAGGTCCCATACAAGAATACACCATTCTATATAAGGTATCTGAGCACCTGTAGTAGGAGAAGGAAGGGAGGAAGGGACAGGAGGAGAGAGCTGAAGCCAACGTCTACAGATACCAAGGGACAACCATATAATCATCTTCAAAGTAAGTTGACAATTACAATGTATTTTTATAGTATCAGCCCATATTTCTAAAAAGATAGGTTTCTGAGGTTTTGGGGGGTAATAAAGTGCATTTCACCACTTTCATTGCTGTATCTATATTTTCATAGACTTATTAAATAGACATATTAAATTCTAACATTACCATACAGCAAAAATTTAGCAGTGTTTTACTTGAAATCTGTTTTAGATTTTAAAATAACTCATATTTCTGGTAATCTTTTCCTGTAACCTTTTGGATTTCCGAAATTTTCAGAGTCAACAAATGAAATATAGCACATAATTACATACTACATCACACTCCCAATGGGGACTGAGACAGCACCACACAATTAAACCACATTAGTATTTCTGGACACACACACCCAAATATTCATAATGAAGATGATAAAGATGAAAAATAAGCTCTTTTATAACTAAAAGAGTTTTTGAAGTTTTGGTTTTCAGCATTTGGGGAATTTCAAGATAAGGGACTGTGGTCCTAATTTACATGAAGGTGAAGAATTTTACAGGTCACAATGACAAGCCACAGCAAAATTCAACAGAGTTGAATGTATATTGAGAAGCAATATAATTCCATCTGAATTGGGGAAAACAAACCACAGAGAAGCCAATGGGAGCAAAGCAAAAACAAAAACAAGTAAAGCAGCTTCTGGGGAATGCACTCTAGGAAAAAGGCGTAATTTAAATCAAACATCAGTGTCCACCAATGACATGTGGCCAACCAGGGAAACCTTGTCCCCAGACACTCCCTCGAACCTAGGGACACAAGTCACACTCCAGCTCTAATACAGATGTAATTTCAATCCAGCATCCTAATCACCAGAGTCACGGCAATGTGCTCTAATGTCTATACTGCCGTGGTCTACACATGGCTCCAGCCTAAACCACAAGAAAAAAAAAAACTCACTCAGTCATAGTTAATCTTACCCAGGCACAGTCCTCTGGATAAGAAGGTCCTCAGCCCTATATATGGAACCTATGTCTCCAGATTGTCCTTATCTACACTAGACCTTTTAAACTTCAATGAAATTTTACAATCTGAAAACCCAAAGGTCTGAAGATGAATTAACAGCAGCCTTTCCTTCCCTGGCCTCCACCTCACCCTTCAAGAATTGCTTATCAAACCATACAGAGAAGACCATGGCAATACTAGAAAATGCTGTAGCCAATGGGGCAGGAGCAAAAAAGGGGCCAGCGATGACTACTCATTCATGTTCAGTCCACATCTAGTGACAGAAGCACAAGCTTATGTCAGGAGCTGGATGACCACAGCCCTCCTGTAGCAGGTGCTCCTGGACCTGAGTTTTTAGTGAGCTGCTTCTCCCCCTTCCCATCAAAGGAGCATGACAGTAGCTGCATATTTACCAAAAGAGCTGGAAAACTCTGCTCAGGTCACCTTCAATAGTTTGTTGGGTCCACTAAACTGCCCACTAGTTTTAACTAACTTAATAGTGAAGAAATGTTCATACAAAGTAAAGATTTTCACACAGAATTTGGTGTTGGTTTATGGGAAAGAGTCATGCACATAACATACCTAATGAATTTCATAAGGATCTAACTGACATAGGGATTTGTTCAGTGGGCTGATAGAAAATGGATATCTATATATACATATTAAACCTATACTCAGCAGATTTCAGAATGATTTCTATTACATATTAACCTTCACCTTCCAAATTCAAATAATAACAAACCATAACCTTAACTTCATTAACCCAGTGCTTATTCCATAATATTGGACAGCAGAGCAGTTCAATAAAATTGTATCAACATAGAAAGCAACAAAATGAATAGCCGGAGTTGTCTCCTACCTCTGCTCGGCCCTCATAGTAGGTTAACACGGACTTTGTAAGTACAAAAAGTCTCTCTTTGTAGTTTAAGGGTGATGTCTTCTTTTTCTGCTGTGACCTTTTAATAAGAATCTCTTCTAGAATGGTATTAAAATTCATCTCGCTCTTCTGATTACTCCTTCTCCTGCCATTGAAGATCCAAGGATTCTGAAGTGTGAAAACATGACATTTTAATTTTCCAAGGATGTTGTCATTTTAAATTACCAATGAGCCTTTATTTTCACCCCAGCTGGAGCCCATGAGTGGTACTTTCTGTGCCTGGTTTGAGATGTCTAGGACAAATAAAGCTCACCCTCCTCTCCCGCCTCAGGCTTGCTCCATCCTGCCCCGTCAATTCCTAAGAAAATCTAACCAAGATTTCCCATGACTGTGAGTCACACCTCTGTTTCTCCCCAGCATCCCTTAGTTGTCTGGTACATTCTTCTAGTATTTGATTATAAGGAGGAAATATCTCAGATGGCAAAGTACATCTATTCAGCACCTGAGTAGCTGGTTTAGGGCAACACTTGCATTGCCTCAAGATCTTGATATACAAAACAAATGACCACAGAACATGGTACACTGTTTAACAAAATTAATTACCACAGTGGTAGATACAAGTTACACTACAGCTCCAGTATGGATGTAATTTCATCCAGCACCCTAATCACCAGAGTCACAGCAATGTGCTCTGTTGTCTACACTGTCATGGTCTATACATGGCTCCAGTCTAAACCACAAGAAAAAGAAAGCTCACTCAGTCATAGTTAATCCTATCTAGGGCACAGTCCTCTGGATAAGAAGGTCCTCAGCCCTATATATGGAACCTATATCTCCAGATTGTCCATATCTACACTAGACCTTTTAAAATTCAATGAAATTTTACAATCTGAAAACCCAAAGGTCTGAAGATGAATTAACAGCAGCCTTTCCTTCCCTGGCCTCCACCTCACCCTTCAAGAATTGCTTATCAAACTATACAGGTAAAAAAAAGTTATATGAAGAGCATTAAGTGGCTACTTAATGGCACAGCCAGTAATGGATACTGAGTTAGCTACGAAGGAATTCCACATCTGACCAGATACTTCCATGCTGCCTCGTAACTAACTCACTATTACTGAATGGCTGTCATTATTGTGTAACAACTTAACCTCCAAATGTCAGTTACCTCATTTATAAAGTATGGAGGGAAATACCACAAGGTTAGTGTAGAGTTTAAATGAGATGTGGAGAAAAAAATTATTTCTTATGAAAATGCTACACAAATATTCATTATTGTTATTTTTAGCTCCAATACTGTCTTCCTCACTTATAGCATTGACCTCACAACTGGACCATGATGGCAACTTCCTGACTGGTCTTCTTTTCCCAGATTCTTATATTACTTAATTCAAACTACATACCCCCAATCCTATTGAATCAGTCTTCAAATATTCATCATGCCATTTCACTCATCAGAAATCAATGCCTCCCCAACACCTGCAGGATAAAGTCAAAACTCCTTAGCCTGACCCTGGAGATTGTTCACAACCTGGCTGCAACCTGACATCCAATTTTTACTTCCCCTCTTCCCAAACACTGCATATGCCAGCCAAGACAGTACCCTGAATGTCCAGGGACTCTGCTCACAGTATGCATTTTCTGGGCTTCAGGAATGCTCCCCACACTTCTCTGTCCACGATGAAAACTCTATCTACTCAAAACTCACCTCCTTGAGGTAGCTCTTCCTGATGACCCCGACTAATTAAAATTCTAATTCCTCTACCCACAATCTTCCTCACTCATTATAAAGCTAATCATATTCTTTCATATCTATCACAACTGATGTAATAGTTTAACATCTAACCTAGCTAGTAAGCTCCTAGGGGAATGGTTCTCAACTGGAAATATATATTAGAGTCACCTAAGATTTTTTTTTAATACAAATGCTCAGGAACTACTTTCACTTTTTTAAAAAAATTCACTTGGTCCAAGATGGAGCATGACCTCGTGACTTTATGTACAGGAAGAACTGAGAGCCACTATCTTGAAGGAAAGGACTGGAAGCCTGAACCTCTTTTTACACACTTGGTGTTTATGGCAACCTCTCAATAAGCAGTGGATCCTGGACCTATTAACTCATGAGCCATCCTAACTGGGTAGTCAGAGAAAAGTTCCTTTTGCATCTAAGTTGGTCCTCTTATTCCATATTAAGATTCTGGTACCCTTTTGTTTCCCTAAGAAACAGTTGGTATGCAAATACCACTTCTTTAAAAACTAAATGATGTGTTATCATCATTATGCAACATATTTTTATTGCAGGATAAAAATGACTACCAGGAAAAAGCAAGCTACACTCTGGAAAACAGGCCATATGGAAATATGTAGCTCCCAACTCAGTGAGAAACACCATAGTTAGCAAATGGAAGGCAGGTTTTTGGAAGGCCCAGGAGGATAACTGGGGTGTAGCTTATCTGTAGTTCTAGAAGCAAAAGTTCTCAACACCAGGGACAAGAAAAAATATTTCATGCTGAATGCTTTGGGGGTGAGGAAAATCAACTATCTGATTTCTGGGAGTGACTAATAGTCTTACAGTATCATATTATTTGAATTGAAAGGAATCTTCACCAGCATCCAATTTAATCTCCCTCATTTCACAAATTCAAAAGCTATGCTTCAGAAAAGTTAAGCGTATTTCCCAAAGTTACACAAATCAAGACCAGAAAAAAGTAGAGCACCAAGTAAAGGACTCTCTCTTACCACTCCATGCCACACAATGCAAGTTCACTCCTATTGTTATAATTCATTGATCAATGGGAAATTGTGGTCAAAAAAAAACTAGGAAAGTTCACAGGGATACAAACTCCCCTCAGGGAGACATCAAGCTAAAGATGAAAAGTTAAACGCACATTTTCGCCTTGGCTTTTTCCTAAAATTCCATTAAAAACACATTTTGTTTTTGCTGCTATTGTTAAGGGATTAACTCTCAAAGAAATAGAAAATAGAAAAGGTGACAAAAACAAAATTTTGGAAAGTGGAAAGCAAATAAATATGTAGTAAGTCTAGCAGAAGGGGAGGGAAAGTCTGCAAACAGCCCAATTTATGCTACAAAACGTCCAAGGAGCTCATGAACCAGCCAAATCCAGTATCTCTAGAAGTAGTAGTGAAGAACTAAGGCAAAAGAATTGTTTGCAGGTACATTTAAGAAAAAGACCAGCTCCCTTCTCCCATGCCACAAGGCTACGTGACTGGCCTTCTTCAACTGTGGGAGAAAACTAGAGGTTTATTTTCTTAAGACTGAGAAGTGAGACAGACAGTACCACACTGCAAAGGGAAGCTTAAGTGAAAGTGTAAATGTGTACATACTGAATGCTGACACTACTCAGCTCTCTTCTCCCATGTGGCTCCAGGACCCTTTCACACTATTCAAGATACAGACATAGGAATGTCCCCCACCAGAAAATGCACTGACAGATCACCCCACAGTTAGGTCCAAAGTCAGCAAGGCCCAACCCTATCCACAAAACTTCTGGTTGACTTTTTAGAGCCTCACTCTGATAAATGAGAGGAATTGTCACCAATTTCACAAAGATTTTAATATCAAATATGCATGACAAAAGGTGAGGATACAGCCAAAATCAGGAACAGAGAAAAAAAAAAGAAGGGCTACTGGAAATGAAAAATGAGATAAGGGAAATGAAAAAACTCAAGAATTAGAATACAAAATTAAGGAACTCTCCCAATAAAGAAAACAAAAAATAAAAAAATTAAGAATTAGAAAGAAAATATAATAGAATTAGAGGACCCCACCCAGAAATTCTGCATCTTAAAAACAGGAGTTCAGGAAAAGAAAAAGAAAAAAAAATAGAAGAAACAGAGGGAGAAAATAATCAAAGAAAAAATTTAGGAAAATTTTCCCAAAACTAAAGATTTACAGATTGAAATACAACCAAGTCAAGGCCCATCTTGTAAAATTTCAAAACTATGGGGATAAGCAAAAAGTAGGTACCATAGAAAGGATCAAACTTTGGGATGGCAATCATCAAGAATAATACTGGGAACTCAAAGACAGAGGGTCTCTATCCTGGGAGAAACTAAGAACACATGATAAAACTTCTGAAGGAAATTGATTTCTAACTTAAATTCTATACTCAGCCAAAATATCAATAATTAGACAGGATCATAAATACATTTTTACATATACTAGGCTTTAAAATTGTTCCTCCTTCTCAAAATGCTACTTGATGATGCATTCTACCAAGATAAGGTAGTAAAAAAGAGAGAGAGAGAAGAGGGAGAAAGAGAATATAAATATATTCAGGAAACACGGGTTCCAACACTTGAAAGAAGTAAGATCTCCCCAAATGATGATGAAGATGAATGACACTGAGCAGCAACCAGTCCAAATTGGATCAAGTTGGAACATTCTTGGAAAGAATTCTCCTAAGGGATGAAATTGAATGTATAAGGAGGAAATTTCTAATAAATCAGAAAAACTTAGCCAACTTAAAAATAATAATAATTCTAGGGAAAACAAAAAAAATGTGCAGAGAGGGAAAAATAACCACAGTAAGTTCTGAATCAAGCTATAACTAACATCAGTAGCATCATAATAATGTAAATGAAAAGTAATAATCTTACTACTACAATAAATATTTTGAAAGTGAGAGCAGGAAGTGTGCTTCTGTGTGGGTGGGGAGTGTGTTGTGAAGAGGACCATTCCTTCCTAGTAGTGGGCACTAATAGGAAGAGGAGGAAGTCAACAGATAATACCTAAAATTGAAAAAGTGAAAAAACAAGTAGCAACATAAGTGTGTAACTTAAGGGTTATCAAAACACAAAATTGTAACACATTTAGTTATAGATCTAATTAGTTTTTCTATGAAACTAATGAATGGGGCACCATCCATTCTATAAAATAGAATGAGAGTTCCCAATGGGCAATGGCAAAATGATGGACTTTGGAAAGTGGGAACAAGGAAACAAAATAGATTTAAAAAAAAAAAAAACAAAACACTGATTGGTAGGTATCATGTTAAATTTTTTGGCAAGGCTTAAAGCAGAAGGGACTTCCCTATTGCACTGACTCTTGTTTTCAGGAAAAACTGATATGCTTAGGGATCTACCTGTATCTTTAACGTTTCAATATTACTATGTGGTATTAGTTTAAGTGACTCCA